AGTTAGGAGTATTTGTTTTATTTTTTTAATAAAATATATATCCAGTATGTAAATTTTTAAAAGCCACCAAAAATAGAAATGTGCTTTATCAATTGAAATGTAATTTTTTTCTTATTTTTGGTGATTACAGAATAAAAAGATCAAAGAAGTATCAGATATAAATATATTATGCTCATTTATATTAAATACATATTAAAATTAGCATAATAGAAAATTTACTTTGAGTATAAATTTGTTAAATATTTACATGGTAATTTTTATGTGTAATTTCATATATTGGTAAAATTAAAAACTACTTTTCAGAATTTTTCTATCTTAAGTTTGGGGTAAGTGGGGTTGATAGGGCTGATTGAATAGAAAAGGGCTATTGACCCAAACATTAAATTGATTTTTGTTCTCATTCAGAGGCCTTAATGTTTTATAAATAAATGACAGTTTTTATTTTTTAACTTTTCTATTCATTTTTTGGGAAAGTATTCCTTAATTTGATGGCACATTCATTCATATAGTTTTTATCCCAAGTTAGAATGAAATAAGCTACACAGTTGAGATTGTCTGAGGCAGTTTGAGGCAGCTCTATTATAAAACATTACTTGATAATTATTTTTGTAAACCAATAAGTTGAATTAATTTATTCTTAGTCTTCTTACTTGGATATAATTCTAAGATCTTGCTATTTAAAGACATTTACTTTGTCATATAGAAACAGTTTTCCACCCCATACTTTTTTGTTAAGCAGAACCTTACATTTATTCTGAAGGTGTGTAGTGCATAGGAGCCTATTTTATCAATAAAGATGAGTGATTAAAATTAGTGTGCTCTCCAAGTTAATTTTAAAATAATGCTGACATTTATTTTTTGGGTTTTTTTTATCTCTTCTTGGGGTTTTAATGATATTTAATAACAGGTATCAAATACATCAAGGAGTGAACTTTATACTAAAACATTCTATACAAATGCTGCTGTGGAGATAAGTATGGATATTGAATTTTTTTAGTATTATGTTCTTTGAAATGGATAACAACCTAGGACCTCAGAGAATTAACTTGGAAAGAAACATTTTCATTGCATAAAATTGTAACCCCCCTCCCAAAGAAGAGATCATTGCAATATCATTGCAACATTAGAAGCCTCCTACCAGTTCACCAGAGAAAAATGAGAAGTAATCAGTGATTTACATTTTCTTTATGATAACAGCACATTTGGAAAGGGAGTCGGGCATCCCAAATTTTGGTCTGGGCACTACTTTATAACTGACTTCATATAATTGGCTCCTTCATCAAGGATTTCCTAATTATTCTCACCACAAAAACAACATAATTATGATACGATAAAATAAAGGGTTCAGATAACATGATTTCTGAAGTCCATTCCTACCCAGCCAGTGTAATAGGGGGAAAGGAGGACCTATGTAATACTTGCAACAATAAAGCCTTTTTTAAAAATAAAAAAAGGATCACAGTTGGATTCCTGGCCAGGGCACATGCCTGGGTTGCCAGCTTCATCCCCAGTAGGGGGTGAGCAGGAGGCAGCGGATCAATGATTCTCTCTCATCATTAATGGTTCTCTCTCCTCTTTCCTCTCTGAAATAAGTAAAAATATACTTTTTAAAAAATAAAGTCCGCCGAAACCGGTTTGGCTCAGTGGATAGAGCGTCAGCCTGCGGACTGGAGGGTCCCAGGTTCGATTCCGGTCAGGGGCATGTGCCTTGGTTGTGGGCACATCCCCGGTGGGGAGTGGGCAGGAGGCAGCTGGTCGATGTTTCTCATCGATGTTTCTAACTCTCTATCTCTCTCCTTTCCTCTCTGTAAAAACTCAATAAAAAATATTTAAAAAAAAAATAAAGTCCATTTGTGGTCTAATATTCTAGCAATTTCTTTGTTAAAATCAGTTACTATCTCATCTTCTATGGAATTCAATTGATCTATAGCACTGGTGAGCTACTGTGGTTTGAAAACATGGTAGGTAGCCTATAACAGGTTATCAGAAACAAAATAGGACAGTATACTTTTCCAATACTATTACTTTTCTTCAGTTTGACATACCTGAAGTTCTAATGAACTAACCCACTAAAGACATCAGCTTGCCCCAGAATTCCTTCATTTCTTATGATTTCATTTGTGCTTAAACTGATTCTTTAAATAATTATTTTTAATTAAATAATGGTTTTTATAGCTATGAAGCTGTCTTCTTATGTCTTGTTACTGTGGTACAAAGATAGTTGGCAAAAAATTTTTATAAGATTTTTATAATGAGACATTTTAGCATTTTTTTCAAAATAGGAATTTATTATTAAAAAATTGTACAAACGAGCTTTTTATTACTCACAAATTAACATAAATTTTAACAATTTGTATCCCCCTCCAAAAAAGTGTGTTGTGTCTTTACAATCTTCACTGGCAATGCGTTTTGATGGTATAGAAAATAACTCACAAACATTTTGTAAAACTTTGTTAGAACATACCAAGATATGGCAGAAGTCAGAATCCCTACGGTGAATTATAAAAAAAAATTTTCTTCAAGTTTAAGTGTTACTGCGGTTATATAAATAGTGTGGATTATGGAATAAATCATTTCCAAGACACTTCCAAAAGTAAAAGTTGAAAATTTTCCAGCTACCCGAAATTTCAAAAATCTATTGCGCTTTGAAAAAACTCTAAAGCAGCATCATTTCAAATGATGGTTAACTCACAAATGTGCATACAACCACCCTGTCACTCAGACATGTCAAGTCCCAGGCAGAGCTGGTGGCAGAGGCTCTGACAGTTAAAAGGCCATGAGGAGCAGCTACGCAGCCCAAGGCACCCAGGTTACATTCTCATGATGGAAAAAAAAAAAAGTTAAAACTGAAGGGACTTTTCTTACAAGTGCCAAGCCTCTACTTCAAAAGTAGCTCCATTAAACACTGAGTGCTTTGACTTCCTCATCACTTTAAAACACAGATGGTACAAAGGGCTTCATATAGAGATTTTTTGAAATTGTATTTTACATCAATGCTAATAACTAATTTAGCCGAAAGAACTACAAAATGCAGATAAAGATTAACAAAACAAAAATTCATGTCACTTAATATGGTTTAAATTAGAAATCAGCTATCAATACTCTTTTAAAGGGCCAGAAAACAAACCAGGCCATTATTTGGAATATAAATTAATCATCCATATAAAAGTTCTGTTATCTATATAAATTAGATCTATTTTCAAATTGAAATAATTTAGCTATTTAAATTACCATTTTAAACAAAAAAGCAAAAACTATACATTTAAAATGATATAGTAAATGTGTTTTTATCACAAAAATAAGCAAAAGAATGACACCTTTTGTTACTATATGATACTAAGAGAGATGCAATTAAGTAATGACTTTTTAAGTTTGTTCTCCTTTTGTACTCAGAAGTTCAAAGACCCAGTATCAAATCCCTAAATCTCTAAACAGTAGCAAAAAAACTCAGTCTAACACTCAAACCACCCTCTGTGCCCCTGCCCCCCAGGTTTAGACGGACTAAAGTGTGAGAAATTTTCCAGGACTTGTGAAAAGAAAACATCAGGGCTTTATGTGAGAATCAGTTTTTTTAATTTGTGTGCGTGTGTGTGTGTGTGTGTGTGTGTGTGTGTGTGTGTGTGTGTATCTATTTAATGGAACAAGTTGATTATGTAAACCAAGAGGTAATTTCTCAAGTATTTTGGAATACGGAAAAGCTTCCCTATCACCCATTTTTCGGTCATCTTTTCATCACTTAGAATTATAATCTCCATGCATCGGTAAGGACACCACACAGATACACAAGCCTGTTTTCTTATTAGACTTGCACTGGAGATTGCTGAAGCAGGCTGGGCACAAACACCAAAGCTGCAGCAGTGCCTGCCTGTGTTCTTCAGGATCACACTGACCAAGCCCTTTGGCATCTACAGAAGCAGGGGTGTTCTCTCTCCAGCTGGCTGCTCCTTCTGGAAGAGCTCTCTGATCTGGGTTAATCGGCCATACAGTCTCTCTCTCAATGGAGGGATGTGGTAGCTGGGATCCAGGATGTTGGTCACTCTGCGTTCCCTCTCTCGTTTCCATAACTTGTATGGGTGGGGAGGAAAACATGGCAGCCCTCTCTCTCC